GTGTGTGTGTGTGTGTGTGTGTGTGTGTGTGTGTGTGTGTGTATTGTGTGTGTTAACACTATTTTGTCTTGTTGGAAAATGATCAAAAGGAAATCATTTTCTAACCAGATGAAATGAATTTTCAGTCTCAGAGCTAGAGAGATGACTCAGTGGTTAGCATGCATGCCACTCTTGCTGATGATTTGAATTCAGTTCTCAGCACCCACATCAGGAGGCTCATAACTGTCTAAACTCTAGCTCCAGAGGATACGATGTTCTAGCTTTGGTGAGCACCTGCACTCATGTACATGTGCGCACACACACACACACACACACACACACACACACACACACACACCTCCACATTATTAAAAACAAAAATAAATCTTGTAAACATTCCAGTCTCCATAAGGGTCATTTATAGCATAGCTATATGCATGCAATTTCTGCCTGCTGCTACTTTTTAGGTTGCAAAAGTCAGCACAGTTGGCTCATGGTAGTGAAAATCTGATAGACCACAAAGGCTTTGCTCTCAGATCCTTCACACTAACATTCCTGGTAGCCTGTTTCATAACTTTACCTCTCTATACATATATATTTATTGAAGGAGAGGCCATTCAGAGAGAGCTAGAATAAAACAGGAATCAGGTAGCAAAGAGCAGTGATGGAGGAAGACGAGAACAGAGAAGGGATGAAGGAAAGAATGAAAGAGTAGACGAATGGATGTCCCTCTCTTACTTCCCTATTAGCCAGGAAAGTGGGAATGGTAGCTCTCCCTGTAGCACTGACAATGTGACCATCCTGCCAGGTGGCACAGGAAGCTCATCACATCACAATTCCACCATGAAATCTTCATGGGAGGGGTCAGGTATCCACTATGGTACAGTGCTTCCCTAAACCAAAAATGAGGTCCATGCTCAGTTCACTCTAATGCAGCAGTTGTTATGCTAAGCACGCTCTGCAAACTGTCTTGGCCAAGTGGCTCATTTGTGAGCCATAATGGAGGACTTGGCTCACTAGTGTTCATTAAGCCTCTGCATCTCCGTTGACACCCTACAGCTGAATCACACATAAACAAATTTATGGGCAAATCATTAAGAGTGAATGAGTTATCACTTTGGAGGAATGCTTCCAGACAAATGAAAGTGCAGCTACATCCAAATGTGAAGTCATAACAAATCTTGTACCTGAACAGATCCATTTTGCCTAGTGAATAGCATGACTCAAGCATTAGCAATGAGATTCTCTAAAGGTGGCAAATGCGTTGTAAACCTTCAAGCCTATTGCTTCTGCTTCTGCCACTCCCCCACACATACTGGATTGATGGAGATGGCTTAGGCTGGGCAAACTTTCTATCCTTGATTGACAACCATGATATAACTACCCCAGTTGATTCTGGTGACAAGCCCAGTTTATCATCACAAGAGACATCACCATTGCTTTTCTTAACATGTGATGTTAAAGGTAATACTTCTTACAGAAAAAAAAAAAAAAAGATGCCTTTTTTTTTTAGAGGAAATCAGAAAACTTGAGAGATCACATTCAGTCTTGCCATCATAATAGATTAACTATTTGCTTCCCCCTTCAGAATTCACAGTCTGAAATCCTAACTCTTTCATGTGATGAAAGGTGGAGCCTTTGGGAGGAGTTATGGGTCTAGAGGTTTTGGGGTGTAAGAAGTGACTCAAGATCTCTTGCAAAGGAACCTAAATTCAAATCTCCAGCCCCCAAATAAGATGGCAGAAGTGACCACCTGTGACCCCAGCACTGTGGAAGGTGGAAGCAGGGTGTTAGTTCCTGGGGATTGCTGGCTGCCAAACCAGCTCCAGATTCACTGAGAGAGTGAGTGAGGTAGTGATGGAAGAAGTCATTAGACAGCCTACTCAACCCTCAGTGCACATATACACATATATACACATATATCACATACACACATATATCAGACACATACATATCATATACACAAATGGCACATTCAGACACATAGAGCTGCATACACACACACACACACACACACACACACACACACAAGGGGAAAAAAAGAAATGAATATGGAGTGTTCTTCAGTGCAATCGGTGCCCTTTCTAAGAGATCACAGAAAGAGCTCCCTTCCCTTCTTCCATCTGGGAGGAGGAAGCCTGCTGCAGACAGTCAATCTGCTGGCTCCTTGACCTTGAACTTTCTAACTTCCAGATCCTGGAGAAATAACTAGCTGCTGTTGGAGCTGCCTGCCTTATGGCATTTTTAGAACAGCAACCCAGATGGACTAATAAGTACACTGCATGCAGAGCAGTTTGGGTTTTCAGACTGATCACCTAATAGCCAAGGCCTGCTTCTTCAGAAATAAGGGGAACACTGGCTTCTCCAAACTGTCATGAAGGTCACATGACATCATCAGAGTGCATTTCCTAGCGCAGTGTCGGGTACATCGTTGTCCTGTGTGTGTGTTTCCTTCTACACAGTCTTGGATGTATTTGGCACTAGAATATGACAAGTCCCCTGACCTTTAGAAATGATCCTCTCTTGGTGATTGTAAGAAGACAAACATTTGAGCTTTAAAATTGAAGAGGCACAAAAGAATTAGCTAGGTTTTAAATGCATGCACATTTGTGTTACAGTAGAGGAAATGAAATGGTTCTTGCAGTTACTATTTTGTTTAGGACCAACTATCTGGGTTGGTAAAGCTTTAAGGCTTTTCTCTGGTATGAGGGAAAGAATGGTAAAGCAGTTGGCTATATTCTCTCCTTTTGTGGGAGCTCTAAGGACCTCCATGGGGCCAGCCTTTTTGAGTGGGATGAGGAGAAAATTGAAGCAATATATGTCTTGGGGATTCTTCCCATAGGGAAGAGTTTGATTTTTTTTTAATGTGTTTGCATTTTTCTAGCAGTCTACCTCAAAGCTCTTTAGTTCACTCCTTATAACGCTAAGTGCTACACAGAAGCTGACATGGCCACACATGCAGGTCCTGCTTCTGCAGCAGCTGACATGGCCACACATGCATGGTCTGCTTCTGCAGCAGCTGACATGGCCACATATGCATGGTCTGCTTCTGCAGCAGCTGACATACATAGCCACACATGCATGGTCTGCTTCTGCAGGAGCTGACATGGCCACACATGCAGGTCCTGCTTCTACAGCAGCTGACATGGCCACACATGCATGGTCTGCTTCTGCAGCAGCTGACATACATAGCCAC